TATAGACACCCAGTGGTGCAGTGAGTTACATGACGGGCTACTCACCGAAAGGATGGTGCTTCAAACTCATTAGCTATTTACAATCCTATGAAGCAGTTCTCCTCTGTTCTATAAGGCGGCTGTAGAGTCAGAACTGAGTAGACGGCAGTTCTGGGTGTAACATTAGGTAGAGGCCATTATGATTCTCCTCACTGTACAGATGAGGAGATGTCTGCTCAAGAAAATGGTGCACTTGCTCCCCTCACACAGCTGCGACATTAGCCAGCGCTCAAATGCGGATCTGCCTGGCTGCATGTCCATAGTCTCTCTAGTTGACAGGACTTCTGGACTCACTTCTAGTATACTTCAGCCCTTCAGAGAGAGACAGGCTGCTCCCGACAGAAGCACCTACATGGGAGGTCCCTGGCTGAAAGATGGGTGGAGGTGTGGATCTGGGAAAGAGTACTGCTGGGTTAGTTCAGCTGAGTGACGAGACTTCCCACGATGTCTGGACCATAACTTATCAACAGGTCTAGTTGGGGCTGTCAACCTTGAAGGTACAGAAATCCTATCCTTTCAAAATCTCATCATTACTTAAATTGGGGGGAGAGGGGTGTTGGCTAACACTAGCTAAATTCATATGGAGTACAAATCAGAAAGTCAATTTTTTTAACTCATAAGGTGAAATGTGCCTATTCCTTTGAGTTATCTATGAAGAAATCCAAGATCAGGTATCATCAGTAAGTCTCTCAAGAATCATACAGGCACCAAAAGCGTTAACTATATGCTATCAACATTTGGCAGAAATGCTGTTACACCCGGCTTTGCCATGAAAGGAAACACCCGGCTGTCAGGCATTTTGCAGGAAGGGCCCACTGATATTCCGTCTTATCCCTTCTTATCATCGAGTTCCTGGACTCTTCCGAGGCTCTAGTCCCTCTTTGATACAGTTGGATCACTGAACTCTTGGACATTCAAGTAACCTTCTGCAGGCCTCGCCTAGCAATGACCATGTGGCTAGTCGGACAGTCTCTCCCTCTCGCCCAAGACCAGGGATGTCTTATTCTTGCCCCTGTCCAGAGACCTTTCTTCAGGTGTTCTGGACAGACAGCTCTAGCAGATCAGAGCTCCTCCTCAGTGAGCCTAACTCCAAGGAGGCCCTCGCCTAGCTTCCTGCTGGGCCACTCCACTTCCGCGAGCTAGTCCAGACTTGGTCCCCACTCCCTATCCCTCCACCTCGCCTCCATTCCTTGCCGCCACACACTTTCTCACCACTGCTGCTCTAACTTCCTGATGTCACTCTGCCACACCCACCGATGAACACTTAAAACATGTATTTATCAATACCAAACACGCATGAAATGGTTTCTGATCAGAAAAACAAAAATCAGAGAATTTTCCACTTAAAATTAACCTAAGAGATAATTTAATTGTGTGCTAACCAGTTTACAGATGAAAAAGGATTGACAAGAGTTAAGTGACCCACCCAGTCATGTATTTAGATAATGGCAGGGCTAGTGTCTGGACTCAGGTTCTGGGCTTTCAATCCACTACTCAAACCAAAATACCAAACTGCAAGTACACACAAAAGACCCCAGTGGGAAGGCTACGCATCCCACAGACAGGTCACCACCAGCACTTAGCAGGCTTTGAAGCACATTAGCCAGTTTTGTCTTTGAATGATGACTGATAGATCAACCACTGATAGATAGCTCTTGCAATAAGAAAATAACTATCTCTAAGTCTTACAACTATCCAAAAGTGTCTGAGGAAATATACAATTGCAAACTGCAACTCACTGCCATTAGAATTCTTAAGGTGGATTTGTGATTTTAGGAAAAAAATTTTTTAAATGTTATAAGTCACTACTTATGGTATCTAAATGACTCTGGTAGCGCTGTTAGGTCAGCACTCGTCTGCCAACCACAAGGTTGGTGGTTCAAATCCACCGGCTGCTCAGCAGGAGATAGATGACACTATCTACTTCCATAAAAATTTACAGCCTTGCAAACCCTATATAAGACAGCAGGGACTCCATGGCAGTGGGTTGGGTAAGATCTCTGGAGTCCCTGGGGGAAGTGGGGATGGAGTAGGTGGTTAAACACTCAGCTATTACCTGAAAGGTTGGTGGTTCAAATTTACCCAAAGTCACATCAGAAAAAAAGCTTGGTGATCTGCTTCCAGGAAGTCCATCATTAAAAATCTCATACAGTGTAGTTCTACTCTGAAGCACATGAGGTCACTATAAGTCAGTCAACTCAACAGAAACTGGTTTTGGTTTAATTAAGAAATATTTAAAAGGTAATATATTAAGACAGGGCTTTCTATTCCTGTAAACAGAAATATTCAGAAACCCCCAGGCGCTATGAGTTAGTGATGACTGTGAGTTTGGTTTGGTCTATTAAAGAATATGGGAGCCCTGGTGGCACAATGGTCACACATTGGGCTGCTAAGCACAATGTTAGCAGTTCAAAACCACCAGCCACTCTGTGTACGAAAGAAGGGGCTGTCTACTCCCATCAACAGTTACAATCTCAGAAACCCACAGGGACAGTTCTACCCTGTCCTATAGGGTCACTCTAAGTCAGAATCAACTCGATGGCAGTGTTTGGTTTGAGTTGATATATTTTATCACAAAAAGTGAAAAATATTAGCTCATTCATACCAATAAAAAAATCACGAACACTTCAATTAAAAAAGGACAAAGAAAAAACAGGAGATCCACAAAAGAAAATTTTAAAAGACTAACAAACCACTTTTCCAGTCAGTCAAATTACAAAAGGTTTTCAATGATAATATTTTATTGAGAAACAGTGGCTTCAGATCATGTACTCTGATTTGGCAAACTGAAGTCTAACTTGACCTTGAACAAATCCCTTTAATCACCAGGAACCTTAATGTCCTCACAAATTAGATGGGAAGAAATGTTTATGTACATTGTATTCAAAGGAAAAATATTAATGGTTAAAAGAAAGCACAAAATCTGAACGTACTTTAAAGGTGCCATGGGTGGCTGTTAGGTGCCATCGAGTCAGTTCCGACTCACAGCGCCCCTGTGTCCAACAGAACAAAACACCGCCTAGGCCCTGCCCATCCTCGCAACCGTCCTTAGGTTTGCGCCCATGGTTGCAGCACTGTGTCAGTCACCTCCTTGGACCCTCCTCTTTTTCGCTGCCCCTCCACTCTACCAAGCATGATGTCCTTCCCAGGGACAGCTCTCTCGTGACAACATGTCCAAAAAAGGTGAGATGAGCGTTGGTGGGATAGTGGTGTGCATAGCTGCTTCCCAAAGTCTAGATGAGATAAAGTCTCACCATCCTTGCCTCTAAGGAGCATTCTGGCTGTACTTCTTCCAAGACACATTTGCTTATTCTTTTGCAATGCATGGTACTGTTGATATTCTTCCACAGCACCCTAATTCAAATGCATCAATTCTTCTTCGAGCTTCCTTATTCAATGTTCAACTTTCACATGTGCATGAGTAAGGTTGTTACATAAGTACAGATTAGGAATGTTTTGCTGACATTAAAATCAAGCTGTAAACAACTAAAGAGAGAGAGATTAGTTACACTTCAGCAAAATGTTTAACGTTTGAGCCAATTAAGAAAGTGAGAAGCCTGGGCTTGGGACTTTCAACTGCAGTCTCAGGGAATGTCCAGGTCCCGGACAGAACGCTGTGCAGCTGACTGAGAACAACAAGGAGGCTCTGAAAAGCTAGCAAGCAGCCAGCTAAGATGCAACTCACTGGTCTCTTCCCGTCCAGAGTAAAAAAGGGTGAAGAAAATCAAAACTCAAGGAAACTGAAGACCAGAAGAACGAGATGGTACCTGGCTACCACTGCCAACTGTTTAGATAAGGATCACAATAGGAGATCCTGAACAGAGGCAGGGGGAAAAAATCAAGATCATAAAAATGACCAGCCTTCCTGATCTGATAGAGACTGGTGGATCCCCCGAGACTAGCTTTTAGACACCCTCCAAACCTGGCACTGAACCCAACCCTGGGGATCAACTCTCAGCCAAACCATGGAGAAAAATATAAAGTGAACGCTAATACTTGTGAGAACATACTTCTCAAAACAATTAGCCAGCCACGACCCAAGGGGCAACATTTGCCTAAAACCAAGGCTTAGAGAACAGAATAGGGCAGGAAAGCCAGACCAATGGGCACAGAGGGGTTCAGGGAGGAAGTGAGAGGAGAGCTGTTATATAGAGGGAACTGCAATTAATGTCAATAAACAAAATGTGCATAGATTGCGAGTTGGAAAACTAATTTGCTGTGTAAACTTTCATCCAAATCATAAATTTAAAAAGAGAATGAAAAGACAACCCTAGAATAGAAGATAGATATTTTACAGTTTATCTATCTATCTATCTGATAAAGGTCTAGCATCCACTCTTACAAGTCACCAACAAACCCAGGAAAAGCAAGCCCATTGCTATGGGCTCGAGCCTAACTCACAGGGGCCCTAGAAGACAGACTAGAACCGCCCCACTGGGCTTCCAGGCTGAAAATCGGTACCAGCACACACTATCACATCTTTCTCCCATGCAGCAGCATTTGCCAATGCAAAAATGGCCAAGAAAAACATGAAAAGATGCTCTTCATCTCTGATCATTAAGCAAATGAAAGTCAAAACCACTTCACACTCACTCGATGGTTATTTAAAAAAAGAAAAAGTGTTGGCTAGAACTTGGAGAAATTGGAACCCTCATGCATTGCTAATGGGAATGTAAAATGGCACGGCCATTGTAGAAAGCTTGGCAGCTCCTCACAAAGTTAAACATAGAATTACCATATGACCCAGCAATTTCACTCCCAGGCATATACACAAGAGAAACGAAAACATATGTTCACACAAAAACTTGTACAATAATGTTCATAGGAGCATTATTTGTAATAGTCAAAATGTGGAAACTACTCAAATGTCCATCAATGGATGAATAAACAAACAAAATGTGGTATAGCCATACAATAGAGTATCTTTCAGCCAAAAATAAGAATGAAATACTGATACATACTGCAATATGAATGAGGCTTGAAAGCTGAAGTGAATGAATCCACACACACAAGGATCATCTATTGTAGGACTCTATTTACACAGGATGCCCAGGATCGGCGAATGTATGCAGAGAGCAGGCCCGCGGCTGACGGACTCTGGGAGGGAAGAGTGACTGCTAATGGTCAGGTTTCTTCTCAGGGCAACGACAAGGTTCTGTAATTAGAAAGAGGCAACAGTCATGTAGTCTGTGAACTGCACTTTTAAAGTTGGTGAATTTTATGATAACGGTTTTTCTTTCCAAACTTGTTAATAATGTGGGGAAATGCTGTCAATATACTGGGAGAGAAAAGACTAGCACACAATTGTAAAAATGTTTAATTCCAAATTGATTTTAAAATCATTCATTTACATACGGAAAAAAGATAAGGTATATACCAAAATGCTAACAATGGGTATTCCTAGATACTATTGTGGGTGATTCATTTTCTTATTTTATGCATTACTATATTTCCAAAATCCCTATAGTAACCATGCATCACTTTTAAACAGGACAGTTTATGATCAGAAACCTGGGTAAGCCTTACGCTAAAACTAATGGCCTTTTGCACACACCATTCATTTATTTAGCCCCATTCATGTAAAGATTTCTATAGGGTCACTATGAGTCAGAATTGATTCAATGGCCGTGGGTTTTATAACAACCCACCCTCTTCCATCGTGTTAATTTCAACTCAGTGACCAAAGCTGTGAATCTTTAGGAAAGCAGAAAGTCTCATCTTTCTCCTGCAAAGCAGCTGAGTTTGAACCTCTGACTGCTCTGCTAACAATACAATACTCACCTGAGAGTGCCACCAGGGTTCCTTATGTACCAGGCACAATTATATTAGACATGGACTTGGTATAAGAAATTTATCTAAGTCCCCAGAGGAGCTCAAAACCTGAGTCTATTTGCTCTTTAAATGACATGCAATGTTGCCAGACTGTAGACTTCCAGGGATAGGGTCCAGGCCTCTCACGAGCAGCAGTGTAGTTTATGGCTTAAAAACGGGCTAGAGCGAGACCGCCTGGGCATGAGTATGGAATCTCTTATTATTTACTGCGTGATATTGGGTGAATTTCCAAATCCTGTGGAATTCAGAAAGGAGTCCTGTCAGTGGGTGTTGGGCTGACAACCACAATGTTGGTGGTTCAAACCCTCTCTCCCCTCAATGGGGAAAAGATGAAGTTGCCTGTGCCCATAAAGATTTATGGCCTTGGAAACCCTATGTAAGGTCACAAGGAGTTAGACTTTGCACATGTTGTCAGGAGAGACCAGTCCCTAGAAAAGGACTTCAAGCTTGGTAAAGTAAAAGAGGAAGACTCTCCAAGAGGGATTGACACAGGGCTATCAGGGGCTCACATATAACACTTGTGAAGTGTTTCCCTCTTGCACACAGGGCCGCAATGAGTCAGAAAGGACTTAAAAGGACTTAATTTAACAACAGGCGTCGGGAGCGACTAACCCTCCAACAACAGCTAGCAGCAGGTTTGGATGAGGCTCAGAAGGAGCCTGGGGTCACGGCAGTACTTGGCTGCAAACCAAAAGATGAGCATTTTACGCCCCCTGGCTTCTCTGCAAGGGAAAGCTGTGACAGTCTGCACCCCTAAAGATGAAGCCTGGGAAGCCCTATGGGGCAGTTCTACTCTGTCCGATGGGGTCGCTAGAAGTCAGAACGGGCCCAGTGGCACCAGGTCTGCAGGAGGCCGAGTTCCCATCTCTATCAAATGGGGCGATAATAGCATCTGCCTCGCTGGGTTGCTGTGAAGGTTAAATGTGTTAACCCGTCTCAAACACTGGCAGCACTCTATGCCAGGGACATCAGAAGGAGTCGATACGTTAATTAGGTGCTAGATGCCATCATCATCATCACCACCTCACGACCAGGCTTTCTAAGGAGGTAGACACACAGAGCAAATTAAAGGCCTCAAGCACAGCTGTTTTCAGCTTGGATAGAATTTGCGCCACAACTCAAAAACTGGCAGCTAGCATCCGATTCTTGATGAGTCCCTAAGAACCATTCAATTCAACTCATTTCTTTTTCCAGATTCTCTCAATTTCTAATGAAACTCTTCTTTTGAAGAGTTCCATAAAATACGAGGCAAAACATCAGTGTTCAGCATCACAAACTGCCTCTGCCCTCCCATCTTCTGATTCATAGAAACCAGCTGTTTACAGGCTGTTATAATGGCAGGCGGCTTTGGGAGGCTGGCCTGCCTTCCCCTGCCTTTCTCAGCCTGGCCGCTCAGATCCAGGCATTTGCCCAGGCTGACTCTTCACGGGCCAAACCGCAAAATCTCCCGAGCACCACACTTGTCTAACGAGTGACTGGAGGTGCTGACTGCATTACACCTAATGCCGACTCTCCCATCCTGCAGTCGAGAGTCTCAACAAGCAAGCATCACTTCAGCACTTTCAAATCCCCCCTTTGTGTTAAAACAGACCCTTGACTCAGTCACTTGTACTCAGAGCCATTTTACTGTGTCCTGAAACTGAAAATACGGGCAATTTCTGCGATTTTGCCCGCTGAAGGATCCCAGCGTGCCTTCCTCTGCCAGGAATAAAGCAGGGCCCACATGAACACAGCATCAAGCCCCAAATTCAAAGATCTCTGTTTAATGGAAAAGTCACAGCACTCTGGCAACTGAAGAATACCAAAGCAGGCCCTGGGCTCCTGAGACAAGGGGCTGGGCAGTCCAGGTTTGCACACATCTAGAGCAGCCACAGCTCAGCATGGGTGCCAGCCCTCTCCCGTGACTAGCTGTGTCACTCAGGGGGATGTCTCTTAACTCTCTGGGTTGGTTTCTGCCGGGAAACATTAAGGTTACCTCATGGGCAGTTCTGAGTGTGGAATAAGCCACTCCCTGTACATGAGTTGACACCGGAAGAAGAGTCCCTGGACTGCTGCACACGGTCACTGATCATAATAGATGCAACTCTTGTACCACACGGCCTCCAGAAAGGGCCTGCTGGTACAAGGGTTAAGATCTTGGCTGCTACTTGAAAGGGTGATAGTCAGAACCTATCAGCCCTGGCACAGAAAAAGATTTACATCCCGGCAAACCTCTGGGACATTTCTTCTTTGTCCTATACATACATCATTATCAGTAGGCATTGACTTGACAGTCACAGGTTTGGAAAGGTGTCCTGGTGGTACAGCTGTTATAGCACTCCGCTGCTCACACCAGCCTGTGTGATCATAAGGTGTCAACGGCAATAGGCCTTAGAAGTTCAAAATTAAACAATCCCATTGAGGTGTAGGAGACGGGTGAAAGTAGAGACCCAGAGCCCACCCATAAGACCTTCCCATGCAGAGAGGCTGCACAGAAGAGAAGATACATCCAGGGGCAGTTTAGCACCCACGAAACACACAACACTCCTCTAGTTCTTTAATTCTTCCTTCCCCCACTGTTATGATCTCAGTCTTACCTTGCAAATTCTGCTAGACCGATGTCCGTACACGAGCACAAACGAACACTTTCAAAACACGGAATTCAGCATAGACAAAACCCTCAGAGAAAGTAATGGGAGTAATGATTCCAGGAGAGTAGGGGAAGAGAAGTGGGGGAAGGGAGGACGGATAGCAATAATGACAGAATAACCCTCCTCAAGTTGGACGATTACCAGGATAGTTGGTGAAGGGATAGTATGGGTGGTATAAGATATGTATAAATAATCATAACAATGCATAATATATAAAGGGTTCGAGGAGATGGGAGGGCGTGGGAGGGAATAAAAACAAGCTGAGGTCAAAGGACTCAAGAAGAAACATAATGTTTTGAAATTGTTGATGCCAACACTTGTACGTGTCTGCTTGAAATAATGGACGTATGGATTGTTATAACAGATGTGAGAACCTCCAATAGAATGATTTATTAATTTTTTTTGTTAGATGCAATTTTTATTTAACATACAGATCCCTGGTTTCGTTTTGTTTTTTAATAATTTTATTGGGGGCTTGGACAACTCTTATCACAATCCATACATACATCCATTGTGTCAAGCACATTTGTACATCTGTTGCCATAATCATTCTCAAAACATTTTCTTTCTACTTGAGCCCTTGGTATCAGCTCATTTTATTCCCCTCCCTCCCTGCACCCCTTCCCTCATGAACCCTTGATCATTTATAAATTATTATTATTTTGTCATGTCTTACACTGTCTGACATCCCCTTTTACCCACTTTTCTGTTGTCCATTCCCCAGGGAGGGGGTTATATGTAGATCCTTGTTAACAGTTCCCCTTTTCTACCCCACCTTCCCTCTACTCTCCCGATATTGCCACTCTCACCACTGGTCCTGAGGGGTTCATCTGTCCTGGATTCCCTGTGTGTCCAGTTCCTATCTATACCAGTATACATCCTGTGGTCTAGCCAGATTTGTAAGGTAGAATTGGGATCATGATTGTAGGGGGGAAGAAGCATTAAAGAAATAGAGGAGAGTTGCATGTTTCATCATTGCTACACAGCACCCTGACTGGCTCATCTCCTCTCCGCAACCCTTCTGTAAGAGGATGTCTAGTTGCCTACAGCTTTGGGTCCCTACTCTATACTCCCCCTCATTCACAATGATATGTTTATTTTGTTCTTTGAAGCCTGATACCTGATCCCATAGACACCCAGTGAACATAGAGGCTGGTGTGCTTCTTCCATGGGACCTTTGTTGCTTCTGAGCTAGATGGCCGCTTGTTTATCTTAAAGCCTTTAAGACCCCAGATGCTATACCTTTTGGTAGCCAGGCACCATCAGTTTTCTTCACAACATTTGCTTATGCACCCACTTTGTCTTCAGCGATCATGTTGGGAAGGTGAGCATCATGGAATGCCAGTTTAATAGGACAAAGTATTCTTGTATTGAGGGAGTACTTGAGTGGAGGCCCAATGTCCATCTGCTACCTTAATACTAAGCCTATAAATATATGGACATAGATCTATTTCTCCATCATCATATAAAAATATATTTACATGTGTACATGCCTGTATTTAGACCTCTATAAATGCCCATTGCCTCCTAGTTCTTGCCTCTATTTCCCTTTACTTTCCTCTTGTCCCACTATCATGCTCAGCCTTCATTTGGGTTTCAGTAATTCCTCTCGGTTACATTGCCCTTGATCAAACCCTACCAGGCCTCCTACACCCTCCTCACCACCGATTTTGGATCACTTGTTGTTCCCTTG